TCGGGAGAAAGGAAGCGAGATTAGCCACAAGGATTATTATAATATATATTGCGTAGGAACCTGAAAATCTTAAATATTGATTCTTTTTTTATTATCGGTGTCAAGCTTACTTGGCGTGAAACTTCCAGGCGAAAAGGCAAAACCATGACGAAAGTGGTTTGGATTCTAGGAATTCAATTGTAGAACAAAGGAATGAGAAAGAAGGAACGTGGAATCGGTTCAAGGCCAGGATCGTGATGTATATCTCCCCGTCCGTGACCTGTAGGAAAAGGCCCGTTGCACGCGGCACTCCATTGATCAATGTCTCTTTTTTTCCCCAAAGCCCATAAAGGTCGAATTTCTCTGAACCGTTCACTTGAACTTTGAAGGGGATACCCTTCAGACCTTGCCAATGAGGGGGTGTTCGTTGAGAAACTTAATAAGAACATTTCAGCGATAAGTCTTACTGCATAAGACTAATTTGAATTTCGTTACTGCCGTGAACTTCATGTAGACCGTTAGGCAGCACTACGGTTCATAGATTCGAATGGAAGATTTTCAAAAATTGGAAAAAGCATTTTAAATGAGTTATGAATTTCAAGTGCCCTATGCTATCCATTTTGAACTGTCTACAATGGTCACGTGGGTTCCACTTCGACCCAGCAACTCCTCTTTCTTCCCCCGCGTTCTCTCACGGCTAACCTATAATTACAGGGGCCTGAACAGGAAGTCCGCGAGACTTGACATGGATTAGATGCAATTACATCTATTGTGACGTTACCTGACCCCTCTTAGAGACGTGGCGGGGAAGGGAGGGGGGGGGGGGGCGATGTTCTGTTCTGACTCCTCGAAACGCAAACCTACCGTAACCATCCATCACGGTGCAAGATGAGCCCGGGGACAGGCAGACGCGAAGAGAGAATCGCCTCTCCAAAATGGAAGATGTCGGGTACATCCTCAGCTAATGATGTAATCACTGGACGTGGAATATAAATGATAGGCTTGTTTGACAGATTGCAGGCAACCTGTCCGAGCTGCTTCATAACCAGAACAGGCCCGAATTACACCTAGTTGACTGGAATCCTCTCCTTGGCCTGGAAATCCGAGAAGACGCGGCCTACATACCCATCTTCAAAGCCATTGAAGCCTCCCATTGAGCTAGAATGGTGTTGGTGTGAGTCCTTGGTGGTGTTTTCAACACGTTTCCACTGATAAGAAAGGCACCTGGACCTGATGCTACAGCCCTCTGCAGAACACGTGGAAAACGAATCTACTGTAGATCTTTTCCTCCATAAATACTCCATCGTTTTATTATAGCCTATTCCTTCTTCGACTTCCGGTTTCCAGATCCTACGCTGGGGATTTCAGTCATCAGTCGACGGTCATCAGACAGCTGTATCGATCCCGTGTCAGAATAACAGCTAGGGGTGATGTTGTTTGGCCCCAGAATGAAACCCGGTGGTGTGTAATCTGATATTCGTCCCTTCTTTTAATGAAGTTGTCCCCCCTCCTGTGGTTAATCAGTTCATGTGGTATAGCCTCCGGTCATTTCCATTGATCACTAATGTAGATATGGCTTCTATCGCTTTCTCTGTCCCCCTAGAGGTCAAGGGTCTCTTCGTGGCTCTCCCCTCCTCTCCTCGCGAGCAGTGTGCACACATCGTAAGAAGCGAAATCGAAATCTCTTTTCAAAGACTTGTTGACTTTTCTGCGAGGAAATGGCAAATATTCGTGAAGCTTCGACCTGTGATGTTTGAGAGTACATTGAGGATCGAAGATTCTCCTCTTTGTTCAAGAAGCTCTGGAGTGGTTGGGGGGGGGGGGGGGGGGGGGGGGTTTCGAGGGGGGCTCGTCGCAGTTTCGAGGCGGGTCGTCGCGGGCTCGGTCAATTCCAAGGCTGCGGTATTATTATGGGATTTGCGCAATATTATTCCACGAAAAACCAGTGGAATTTTTTTTGTTGAGGGGAAGTATTAATCCAGAGGATAATAAATCTTAGTTCATTCCCCGTGACCCCCTCATATTATGCAATGCATCTAGGCATTACTATTCATTCGATGCTTTTCGGCCCCTTCCTTCATCGCGTGTTCAACGACCTCGTCGAAAGGGGGAGAGGAGAGAAAGAGGGAAAAAAAAGCATTTTTGCATGGAAAAGCAGGAGAAAAATGCAAAACAGGAAAAGGGAAGGGAGCTGCCGGGTTGTCCCTTGCTTTTCACCGTCATCAAGCTCATCTGGCCAGCCCTTTTGTTGTTTTGCATAACCGTCCCTCCCTTCAAAAAAAAAAAAAAAAAAAAANNCAAAAAAAAAAAAAAAAAAAAAAAAAAAAGGGGAGAGAATGAGTGAAAAGAGGGAGAGACAGAGAGGAGAGGGGACAAAAACCCGCCACCACCCCCGCAAAATGGATCCAGGTGCAGAATTCGGTTCCATGCCCCCGTTTTTCAAAAGGGAACGAACTCTCCACTCTTTCTCAAAGGATTTAGATTCAATGAACCTTTTCCCCCCGTGCAATAGTAGTCGTAGTAAACAGGCAAACAAGCCGCAAGGCAATGACCCTCCCGTACCGCGTTGATAACGCCCGATCTTGTTTCTCGGATGCGTGATCGATAGCGGTGAAAAAAATCGGTGAGACAAGATGCGTGCCAACTGGAAGACCATTAGAGATCCATTAAGCACATCCCGACGATGTTCCCTTTGAAGGGGGGGGGAGGAAGAAAAATCAGGTAGTCTTAACGATTTTCAGATTCGGGGTCCACGCGACGCGACCAGGAAGGGGATCGGCGTCGATATTCCATCATTATGTACATTTCTGCCGTGACTTCTCGCCTGTGTTGACCCAGCGTCTGACAAGCGATTCGTCAAAGTGCTCAATAAGAGCTCAGAGGAAAAGTGTATTCAGGTTGCATGCGTATGAGCCGGCCATCTGCCGTCTGGATCGAGTTATTTTAACCCGTACTGCCGGTCCGGAGCGGTACAGATGATTATAGGTTCATATTTGCGCAGTCGACATGCAAATATGCAAATAGAAAAGGGTAACCGGAGTACCAATCAAATGGCGGATCGTTCTGCTGGGCGGTTTTGACAGGTGCTATTGTTTTTTTTTGCCGCGGCTGCTTCTCGTCGGCGAGGAAAGGGCCGAGATCTCTGAATTGAGATGTTTTTGCCTGTGCATCGAGGATCATTTTTCTTCACTTGGTGTTGGATTGAGATGGAAAGGAAAAGAAACAAAAAAATAGGAGCAGAGGAGGAGGAGGAGGAGGAGAGAGGGTAATCATTAATAATGAGAGGGAGCATCCGTTGGTAGCATTCCAGGACACGATCTATTCATTAGGAACCCTGGGAGTTCATCCATTCTCGTATGATAGTCCGAGAGGGAGAGAGAGGGAGGGAGAGAGAAACTGGGCTGACCGTCTCTCTCTCTCTCTCTCTCCCTCGGCTTTAAAAAATTGCACCTCTCTTGCGATTTCTCTCGTCGGCCCGAAGAGAGGAATTTCCACTCCACTTCCTCGGCGCTGCTCGCAGTCGGTGGGTGTGACGGGTGGGGTTGGTGGGGATGGTGGGGCGGTGGGGTTTGTGGACTCGCTGATGTGTTCTCGGCAGACTGGGATTCCCGCCATATCTGAGCGGTTGGTGAATATTTAAAATGAAACGGTCGAGGAAGTGTCGCCGCCTTCTCCCGCCAATGTAAACGAGACGAAGGCCAAAGGAACTGAAAGCAAACTCTTTTCATTCTTCATACGGATTCATTGATCAAATAAGTGGAGAATAAAATGAATTGAGACCATATGGCCAGCCCTAGCACGAAAGCTCTGGTCGATTCTTTGCACGGCTTTCCTTGTTTTTTTTTTTTAAATTTTTATTTCCAGCTTCTTGTAAATCGCTCGCTGTCGCCGAACCGGTTTAAATGATATTTAGTACGCCAGTTGAGAACGCGCTATATATAGCTTATTCACAAGTTCAAGCTTGGCGAAAATGGCTTCATGAAGAGCGGGGATATGCGCTTTCAAATTCGGGAGGAAATTTTTTAGGTCATTTTTCTCCTGGCCGCCTCGGAGAGGAAAATCTCGAAAAATCTCCAGAAATAAAAAAGACACCCGAGTTAGACCGAAGATGCGACACTCTCAGCGGGTGAGCCAAAGGTGTATGTTATACGTCAACGGCTTGAGTCAAGTCTCGAAAGGGAAAGAAGCACGTTCGCCAAAATTCGAGGACATCGCCGGCCTCGTAGAACCAACAGGTCCGCCGTTAACGGATCGGCCGGCGCCCAGGTCGATCCAGTCGCTCGTTATTGGCGATGTCTGAGAGGATTAAGGGTGAGATCTGCTTCCGGTAGGAGCGGGGGTCTTTCAGTATTGGTCGCATCTGTTTAGCCAATTGAGAGGCCGATGGGACCGTTTCTCCGAAGCAGGTCCAAATATGCCCATATGCCGGGCATTGTAGTGTATTTTATTATTTTATTTATTTATTTATTTATTGGTATTTTTCTGTTCTTTATTTCTCAGTTGCTGGTCGGATTGGGCTTTTTTTTTTTCCTGATGTAAGAGTTTTGCCGGGTTGGGATTGACTGTCTCCATGTTTCTGCGGCGGTTTTGAATCATTTAGAGGTGTTGGTGATCGTGTATCGAAGATGAAGAAACGTTGAGGAAAGTTCGACAGTCCATTCTGACGCGTGCAAACATACGCATTAGGGAAGAGGGCGCCTGATTCGAACAACTGTAGTAAAAAGGGATTGACAAAAAAAAAATTATTTTACGTGGTTTCGATAGTCCTTTTTTTAAATTATAAATCATTTTGTATGTCATGACTGTAGATTCGGACGTGGGATTTTTGAAGGCGTTCCGACCTTGATTTGGAGTCGTGTTCTTTTCCCCGGCAGGGAGTCGCCATCAGGTGAAGTATGAAAGAAGGTGGAAATGGAGAAAAAGAGCGAGCCACTTCGCCGTCATCGCCAACCCGAGTTACCACTACGTCGTCTCCGTCAGTCGTTGTTGGAGTGAATCCAGAAGAAAAAACTCACGATCACATGGTGAAACATGAGGAGCCCGCGTCGCCTCCCCCACTGCTCCTCTCTTCCAGTGCGGGGCTGTCGTCTCCGCAACTGCCCCCGACCCCCATCACGTCGCACCATCATCATCTGGGACCCCTGGGTCCGCTGGGGTTCCCCCTGTTGGGTCCCGCTGCAGCTCTGTTCTCGGCGGCTGCGGCCGGGCAAGCCGCCCTCATGGCCTCGACCCTTCCTCATAACATCCCCGAGCTTCTGTCGGCAGCCGTCGCCACCTCAGGGATCTCAGCCACTACCTCACCAGCCGCCCTTCTTGCCTCTTGGTCCAAGTTTGCCTCTCGGCATCCGTTGATGGTTGCCGCCACTTCCCCTTCTTCTTCCACTTCCCCTCCGAATGTGGTCCACAGTACAAAGAGAGATTCGCCACCGTCGCCAACCAGCTCAGGAAACGACATAGGTCCCATGAGTGAAAGCCCTCCTCCCACTCCTCACCACCTCCTCCACCATCATCATCCGTCCGTTCTTTTTAACAACAATCACCGGAGCACTAGCGCCCCGCCGCTTCCGTTGCCATCGTCCAACGAGCCTCGATCTCCGTCCGCTGTCAGCAATGCCAGCAGCGGTGGGGGTGGTACCGGAACCGGGAACGGTGGGACCGCGTCGTCCACCGGTAGCAATGGAACAGGCCGGGGTGGTCATCGAGGACGGGGAGACGGGATGGCCACTCCCCGGGATAAAGTGTTTGTTTGCGGAATTTGCAACAGGTGCTTCGGCTATAAACACGTTTTGCAGAATCACGAGCGCACGCATACCGGCGAGAAGCCGTTCGAATGCAAGGAGTGCCACAAGAGGTTCACCCGAGACCACCACCTCAAGACCCACATGAGATTGCACACGGGAGAGAAGCCGTACCATTGCACTCATTGCGAGAGGCAGTTCGTGCAGGTGGCGAACCTGAGGCGCCACCTCCGGGTCCACACGGGAGAAAGGCCCTATGCATGCGAGCTCTGCAATTCCCGCTTCTCGGATTCTAACCAGTTGAAGGCGCACATGCTGATACACAAAGGAGAGAAGCCCTTCGAGTGCTCCAAGTGCCTGGGACGGTTCCGTCGACGCCATCATTTGATGCACCACAAGTGCCCTGGGACAGAGGAGGAATTCGACCGCGGACCACCCACATTGATAGGTCTTCGCCGCCAACCTGGGAGTCCAGGTGAAGACCCCGAGGTGGGTGGAGGAGTAGGAGGAGGAGGAGGTGGGGTCGTGGGTGGAGGTAGGTATTCCCCGACCCCGATGGACAGACCAGTGCTCATCGAGCCGACTCCACCGTACAGCCTCCACCCGGAGGAGCCCCTCCAGTTGGGAATAAGCCTGGTGAACCGGAAGCGGAAGCCGAGGGAGACTCGCAGGCTGATCCGGATGAGCCAGGATGCAGGAGACAACCCCATGCCCTCCGCCCCGTGTCCATCCGTGCCAGAGAGCCTCTTCTTGCCTCCGAATGTCACCGGAGTCTTTCATCGCCATCACCTGCGGAGCCTCCCGATGCCCCCGGAGCAGACGGAGCCCGAGGATTTGAGCGTGACGTCCTCGTCTCGCCGTCGGAGGAGGCATCTGTCCGGCATGGAGGAGGATGAGGAGGAGGAGGACACCGACGAAGACGCGGCGGCTCCGTCCTCTCAACACCATCGGAACAATGGGGAGGTGGCTCAAGTCATGTGACACACGGTGCAACACGATACGACACACCCCGAGCTGTTAAGATACACTTCTCTACGGAGGTAATATTCAATACGGGTATTTTTTCCCCTTTCCCCTCCTCGGCTCTTTCGCTTTCCCTATCGCTCTGTCTTTCCTCTACCTTCGGATATTCTGTCAAATCTTTCGGCAAGACGGACCTCAGGCTTTGAGGGGAGTCCAGGGCGAACCCCCTCGGGTATTTTGTGATTTTTGCCCGTTTCATTGGACCACTGTGTTGTTGGTTGGCATAACTCAAGTTCAGGGATTTTTATGACAGAGTAATCGATGATATTTAGTGATTTTTTCCCTCTCCTTTCCTGTAGGGGTGAGCGTGTGCGCGTGTATAGGGAATGCCTGCATGATTATTATTTTTTTTGTTTCCCTTTTTCCATGTGAGTGTTCAGCGGAGCGGGTTCGCATGCGAGGAAGGGGCACGGACAGAGAAATCGCCCTGGGAAAGCGGGATAAGGGGGGAGACCTGTACAGAGAGAAGCTATTTAATGACACGATGCCGCAGTATCTCCTCTTGATTCCGACCAGGTGCAATTCCCGCGTTTTCATGAGACTTTTTCGCACAAAATTTTTTTTTTCCTCCCACACTTGTTGATTGTTGAATCGTGGCTAGTCGTGCGCGGATCGACTTCGTGCCGGGGGGATCCCGACCCAAGAAAAAAAAAACTCTGGAGTGAGAATTATATTTTATTTATTGCGTCGGGATCCCCGGCCTGGACCTCGACGGCACCTAATTTTTTTTTCCATATTTCCTCCAATCTCGAGAAAAAAAAAATCAAAGTTCCTTCAGGGTTGAAGTTGAATTTTTTTTTTAATCATTGACGCCAACATTCCTCGCGTACCTTGAACGCCGAAACGCAACTCAGGGAGAGCATGAAAATGCTTATTATCTTCGTTGTCGTAGTATTAAGCTAGTGAGGTTGTGCTGATGTGGGCGAAAGTTCCTCGAATTTCGTTTGATCTCAAGATGATGTGCCGCGTTTTTCCCTCTCTATGATCGACATATCCTTTCTTCTCCCCCCCTCCCCTCCCCCTTCCCCCCGCCCACCCCCTTGGAGGAGGCGTCATTGCCCTCCATGGGAGAAGGAAGAAGAAAAAAAAAAGAAGGAAGAGAAATGACGGTCATGTGGACGAGGCAGGCCAAGTGAAACGGGTAAACAACAAACAACTTTGCCTCTCTCCTCCTTCCTCCCTTTCACTTTTCCTTCTTCTCTTGCCCCAAGGGATTCCTAGAAGGCTATTCCCCCCTCCTCACCCCCCCCTCCCCCCCCGCCTCATCCCTCCACATTCCACATCCTTGCGAGAGAGTATTACTCGAATCCCAAAGAAACTTTTTTTCTTTCCAAGCGGGAACCTTCCGGGCTCTGACCAGGCGTGATAAGACATACTACAATCCAAGAGCCCGGATCGTTCTTGCTATGACCTTTTGTTTTAAAGGCTTTAACCTTTATTTTTCTCTCTTGAGAGCCGCTTCCGTGCATGCGAACCCGCCTCGACATTTTTTCTTGTGTTTTCTGATGGGGGTTTAGGCTTGAATTTTTTTTTTTCCCTTTCTCCTCTCTGATTCATCATGGAATCAACGGTATCGGTGGATTTGAATCCGTTACCCCGGTTAGAATGCCATGTCTTTTGTTGTTGTATTTGACCCGGTCTGGTTCATGTTCTCGGAAACAATTCGGTGGGATTTTTTTTTTTGGAATCCGTTTCCCCGGTCCTGCAACTGTAAAATTTCGTGCACTCCTTCCCCCCCGGTTTCGATAGGGAATTTTTTTTTTAAACCCTCGCCTTTCCTTTCAGTGATTTTTTTTTTTGCTCCAGTGAAGTGACAGAACCTACCTCAGCGATGCCACATTGTGATCCTCGCCTGACACTTAGGATTGAGAAAGAGAAATCCAATTGTGACACGCAATTGCAGGGATATTTTTCGAGTCAAGAAACCGTAGGAAAGTATAGTCGCTTTTCGATCCCCGACCCATCGGTGTCAGCTCAGGAAAAACCAAAAAAAAAAAATTTTCGAAAAAACAAAAAGAGAGCCAGATTTTTTTTAGTGCTTTTTTTTGGGGCGCAACGGGTATAATTCGGGAAAAGCTTAATTGCAATGATTCATCACGCTAGATTTCAATTAGGGGATTCAAGGTCGAGGGGCGCACGCTGTCAGCACTGGACTTCGAGCCCACACCGAGTTTTTTTTTTCTCTCTCTTTATCCTGTTCGTTTGAATAGGTTCTTTTCAAAATGTTTTCCCCGCCGCCGGCCATTCGCTTCTGATTCTTGAGAGAAAGAGAGGGCAAGAGAGAGAATATTACGAGAGGGGGAAAAAAAGGATTACGTCGGAGGGAAAAGGCTTCTGTCAAAGCGTGGTGAATTCTCCTTTTCAGGGAATAATAAATGGGCTTTTCCGTTGAGTCACCTTGGCGTGGGTGGAAGGGGGTGTCTTCCCCCGGTGAATGGGGATGAAAAACCCCTTTCTCTGGGTTCCAGCTGCTGCTCGGGCCAGCTGGGTGCCTTTTGCATCGCGGAAGTGGCGACCTCGACCTTTTGCAGGGGCGAGAGGTGCAGGAATTTCGAGGAGGGAAAAAATTTTTTTTTCTGGGGGGATAAAAATAGACGCCCATTCATTCATTAAACCCTTTTGCCCCTGTCATCGCCCCCCCTTTTCCGCCTTTTATGACTCTGACGTGTTTACAAACTCACTCCCCTCGTTATCTGATCGTTTTTTTTTCCCCCTTTCCACCCTTTCGCCTCGTTGTGGATGTGTATGATGGTTATGAGCCCTTAATGAAGGGGTTGATAATGATGGGCTCCGCCGCTCAATTATCCGCAAAGTTCCTTTTCGATATCCTTTTTTGGATGTGAGGGAGAAAAAAGGGGAAGGAAGGTCGACTCCACTCGTGCATGGGGAAAAGGAACTCGGGCCGACATCATGCAATATTTACGACTTTTTCCTGTACTCTCCATATATTCCCCCCCCCTCCCCCCTTCGTTGAATGGTTCGTCCACCCCCTCGCGTGCTCTTTCCCCCCTTTCCATCGATTTAGCATATCGATTCGTTCGTTCGGGCCTCTCTTCGCTCTCTCTCACGGGTCAGAATTGTACTAATTGGTTGCGTGACCTTTTGGTCAGATGTCACTATGAGCGTGCGCCCCTCGAGTCTGTTCAGAAAACAGAAAACGGGTATTTCTTTTTTTTGTTCGTTTTCCTCTTGGTCTCTCGGTGCGTCTGCGGGGCTGTACTACACCCAAAGAATTTGTATAGGAGTTACGATCGCCCCGCGGAACGCATCGAACGATGGAAAAATCGTCTTGCCGTCAAATATGTTCCTAAAATCCGTAATCAACTACCTCATGACATTTTTTTTCGTGTGTTTTTTTGTTCGTTGGTAGCTTATTTATCGGGAAGCTTCAGAGGCGTTCGACTTTTTTTTTTCTTCACCGACTTAGCGATTTCACGGTGGACCAATTTCAGTACTTCGTTGCTCAGAATTTTTTTTTCCCCTCACCATCGTAGTGAATTAACTAGTCGTAGTTTCAGAACGGGATCATGCTTCGGCAACACACTCAGGAAGAAATCACGTTTCTAAGAGAGAAATTAACGTTTTTGCTCAATGATGTCTCGGAAAATCCGAGATCGGGAGTCGTCGGGAAATCGCGCGGATTTTTTTTTTTCCGGTTCTGTTCATCCATGAATCCAGAGCCCCGGTTGTATCACGTTCTGAGGAAAAGTTGAGCCCGGTTTGTTTTCGGAATCCTGAAAGCCTGGTGGTGTTTTTCGTTTTTTTTTTGTATTTGATTCATTTCCCATGATCATCTTAGATGTATCCGTGTGAACTTCCCATCTCTCTCGTTTCTTTGTAAATTGGATTGTACAGAGAAAAAGTAAAGGAAAAAAAAAAGACCAAAAAACGGGTCTCTCGTTTGTCGTTCTTTTTTTTTTATTCTTCCCGTGCTCACCAGTCGTCCCTGAAAATCCGAATCCACTCGGTTATCAGTGCCTGTCTCGTTTCTGTATGGACCCCATTCACAGGAGTGAGCCATGCATTCAAGTGCTTTGATAAAGTGCAACTCAAGTTCCTCTTCATTGTGAGCGTCAGAGAAATATTGGCTGCTGACTTGTCTGGTTTTGTGATGGAGAATTTGCTGGGTAAAGTGAGAAAGTGAAAACGTGGAGAGGTTTTTTGATGACTTGTGTGATGTTGGTTGGAATTGACACGCTGTAATCGGGTGGATTTTTTTTTTCTTTCTCTCTTGCCTGCCTATACTTGTCTTGAGAGGGGGAATTCCGAATGGAATAAGAAAAATTACTTGTACTTCTTTCCTTGTTTCCTTTTGCCAATCTCGACACGAACCACGAAGAAGCAGACTGTAGGAGTTCATTGCAGCCCCTGCATTTTTTTTGGTATCAGATGGCATTCATCATCTTTATGGGGCTTCCACGACATGACAGTATGAGGAAATGCAGGATTATGCTTTAGAGGAGCCCAAGCGTGGGAAAATAAATTTCCTGGGACAAGCACCACACTCCATATTTGACATACAAAGGGGACTTCTTAGACGAGTCCCAGTTCAGTGATTGATGAGAAAAGCGAAAGCGACCTGACAACACTGCAGCATTTTAAAATCGAAATTTAGCCATGCATCAACACAAGTCCATAATTCCCCAGACTGGACAGTGTTCCAGCCGTTGGACAAAACAACATGCAAAAAGTGCCACAGAATCCTTCGATGGAAATAAATACACGAATGATTCCATAATTCCAGATTTCTCTTCTCAAGTAATGGAATAAATTACAAGCAGCAAACCACTTCACAAATTGGATCAACACAATGCATCAACATAATCCGTCTTCAAGGGAAAGGATGGATTCTCCAGTCATCTCCAATCAAGGCGATCATGACAGTAAATCTGCAACACAACCCAACCACTTAAAAAATTAATGAGTATTGACATACCAAGTAGCTGTATGATATTAAAATATTCTTTTAGAAAAGCTCCTACCATCAAATACTGCAGTTTGCTAAAGGAACTACACATGAAACAGACGTACTGTATCCTGGTGAGGTGTCGGAGAATAAATTTAACCCTGCTGCACCTTAGAAAGTACAACTGAAAATTTTCGCTGATGATTTCAAGGCCTTGGCTAGAGACAAGGGAATGAAAGGAATCAACCTGGAATCACAGGGGCCCATTTTGGGATGGGGAGGAGGGGCTTCGGCCGGCAGACTTCACGTATTCCTCATACTTCTTCTCTTGTGTGGCATGAAGTTTCTGCAACTTCTTCACCTGTCCTTTGCTCAGCTCCTTCCCGGTTGCATCATGCGTTGGAATGCCCTGCAACAACCACATTTGAAATGACAGCTAAAGCCTTGATTCAAAAATATACACCAATGGTGAAGGGTGGAATGAAGACCTTTTCATCAAACTGGGAATACTTGTCAGTTTCCCCACGGAACATCTCCCAAGGGGGGATCTTGCGCTGGGCTACCTTGGCCTCATCTAGTGCCAACTTTTCCAACCGTTTCCTTTCCTTCTCCGCTTGCTTCTCTTCCTCCAACCGCTTCTTCTGCTCTCTCTCCTTGAGCAGTGTCTCCCGATCAACCAGCTTCACAGCTGTTGTGTCTCCTGCCAACAAAGTCATATCTTCACATGAAGTAGCCATGTAATGGTGCTGGTAAATTTGGTTGATACAGCTATGACTGAATATTGCAGCATTATAAATTATAATAGTCATTTTTATATAAGTAAAAATATCATAATGAAATTCTACAAAGTGATATTGTGAGGGAAACTTGGGATTGTCAATGAAGCCAACTTCTGCATCACACCATGTCACTACTACTGGCAACTTGATCTAACAAACATTTACTTTTTATCTTGCCATACTGGAAACAGGAAATCCACCTTCTCGATCCTCCAAGCGCACACCAATGTTGGGCAGGATGTCATCTCTGAGCTCGTCACACAACTGCAACACTTCCGTAGCCTTGGCACCTCTTGCCTTTGTTCTTACTTTTTCTCTGAAGTCTGCCAGAGTTGTTATATAGGGCATTACCTGCTCCTCCAGATTCTGTTGATGAAGATCAATAATTTGTCATATGGTATGTGTCATATGTCAGTTCTAAGCTAAAAACAAAGGTGCTAAACTCACTTTGGTGGAGGAATCTCCAACTGGGATTCCTATCTGATCTTCATCCATAGAAGGTATGACACCAAACATCCTGAAAAGGCGGGTGACATACAGAGCAATACGTCTGAGAAGAACTCGATTTGGGGTGCAAGAACTCTTGGTCCTCTCAAGTATGTACAAGTTACATATAGATATCAATTCCCTGATGGTGTCCAAGGTCTCCCGGGTGTCAACACTATCTGAATGGAAGAAAGTGGATAATTCTTTTGTCACCAATAGCTGTTGGCAATCCAGAACATAAAACAGATTTGAGTTTTCATACCACACAGTGCTCCATGAACACGGTCCATGCATGTTCCAAAGGCAGTATTCAAATGAAGTTCTGCTTCTCCCCATTTCTCATAGAAGGAACTTTCTGTCAATTGTTTTCCTCTGAGGAGATTTTTCACATTTAAGAAGAATTCCTAAAGAAGAAAAACATTTTGCTAACTTCAAATTTTATCATGCAACAATGACAAAGGTCTTGTCTACACAACTGCATCCAAATACAAAGCAACCTAAAACATAAATTAACATTATATGCCTGCAGAACACATGTAAACAATACACCACTCCAAAAAAACAAACAGAACAGTGGTGAAGCAGCAGTGGGACAAACCCATCTTTCCTCCATTCCCTTTAAGAGACATCATGCATTGTATACTGAATGAAAGAAGACAGGAGTACTTTACACCAATATGGAATTTGTCATGATGGACATGGAATCTCAAGACAAAATAGAAGTTGTATCCTCTCAAGAAGTTCAGGGGGGTAGGTTTTCTTGACATGGGGTATTAACCCCTTCATTGGCAGACCCAGAAAATTCTTGGGTTGACTTCCTTTTGAATCTCAAAACTCACTGGTGAAGGGGTTAATGCACCTTTTATAAAAGAATAACACATTTTTATGTCTGGATATTCATTTATACATTCATTGCCACCTTCAGTTGCAGCGTAACATGCTAACTGCCCCATGAGATGTCAGCCTCATCTCAAGATCTCATTGAGTACCTTTCAACAAGTTGGTATGCATTCTACTGAGACACAACAACTTCCAAGCCATCTTTTTACTACTGCATGTTTCTTCTACAGCCTCATAGGTGGAACATGCAACCTAGATAGGATCTTCTTAGTAGATGAAGCAATTTCCACCATTTCAAACATGCATGAATATGCATATTTGAGTTTTTCTCAGAACGTGCATATTTATGCATATTTTGCCTATTTTATATGGAAAAAATAAAAGCTTTTCAGGAGAGTGTGTTTTCTTTAAGAGCAATCAATTAAAATGTTCCTATAGGCATGTGCTCTGTGACCAGTGATATGGCAAGGGAAGGACTAGGGATGAAGCCCCCCCCCAAACTCCAATCTAATTACATCTGTTACCCCTCCCCATTTGTGTTTGTATGTGCACATTTTAGGACTTATTAGTGCATAAAAAATCTGCTCCCTACTAGTACATTTAAAAGTAACTTGTCCACAAAATAAAATAATAGCAAAAACAAAAAAGTATTAGGAGTGGGAGGTAAATCAGCCTCAAAAGATGAACAGAAGAGTTTCCTAACATTCAGCATCTTGTCGTATGCAATGGCAATGTCCATGGTATTGGAGCTGAAGTCCAGTGTGTCCTTCCAAGAATGAAGAAGAAAGAGAAGCCTCAGCTGTCGACTTGAATGCCTCTGCAATGCATCCTTGATGGTTATGAAGTTCTTGAGGGATTTGGACATCTTGCAGCCAGCAATCGTCAGGTGGCCTGAGTGCAGGAAATACCTGACCCAATCATTGTTCCCAAAGTAGGCCTGGAACAGAAACACATTGGACTTCTGTGGTGTGCTCTTGCCAACTCAAGCTTTGGAAATTGCAATATCCCATTACATATATTACTTTCTTCTGTCTCAGGGCAAACCCATGAACTTTTAGTTTAATTAATTTACTAAAGAGACATTGTAGCCTTCCAGTAATACAATGCCCAGATATCTGCATGATATGAAAAAGTCATTAGAGTTATGGAGAAATTCACATGAAATTCTTGCCAAACCTAGAGTTAGCTACTTTTGCCAGATGACTCCAAAATTAAGAAAAGGGTAAAACATCATTTGATGGAACAGGAACAGCTTAGCAAACCTCTGCCTGAGCCAGTTCATTGTCATGATGGGGGAACTTGAGGTCATAACCACCAGAGTGAATGTCCAGAGATGACCCACAGATGACTGATGCCATGACAGAACATTCAATATGCCAGCCTGGGCGACCCAAACCCCAAGGTGATTCCCACTTTGGTTCTCCTGCCTTTGAGGCTTTCCACAGGGCAAAGTCGTTTGCATTTCGCTTTTCTCCCAATCGGTCTCCACTGACACTCAAAACACCTGAATTGATACAATAACCACAGAAAAATCACCACTACAATTGATGTCAAGATGGGACATCATACCTTCCCATGCAAAGTCTGAACATTAATGGGATGGAACTGGCACAGAACTCAGCAAGGATTCCACAAAGCAATCACCCAATCGTAATCCATTTTGTGGAGCACTTTCATGGAATTTGTATTAAATCTGAGCCAGCTTCATAAAATAAATCATGTTAGGATGATTGTTTTGTGGAATCTCTCTCAGTGGAATCCATACTAAACCTTCAAAGCCAGTTCTTTCAAGCTTTAGCCTTCAAAATCATTCCATCAAAAACATCAGGGTACAAGTTTTAAAACATCCACATACTTCCAAATATTCTTGTCAATCATTGGACATTCTGCATAAATTCCAACTAAGCACTTGCTCCTCCAATGATAGCAGCCTTCTCATCCACTTCTTGTTCGGCTACTGATTTCTCTTCCCTTTCCAACTTTTTTGGGTATTCTTGTCACTGATCTACATAAGGCCAGTGGTCTACACACTATATTTATTTTGTCCAGTCTTTTGCAGTCTACACACAATACCCATAACCATTCAAGGTAGAGACACAATGAGCAAGCCATGTAACCCCCATGCAAACACTTAGCACATGTCTTTCAATAAGCTTAAGAAAACATCAGTATGCTGGTTAATAGAGTGCTGCCAACATTCTTTCAGATGTTGTGGAAGCATGTCTTGTTTGGTGCCATGCATTTTCCTAAGAATCTTCATTTTTAATACTGACCACAGGGATTCAACTGTCTGCGTATTGGCACCAGGTATAGGATCGACAAAGTTTATTTGGTGGTTCACAGTTTCATGTTGGATACAATCAATGTTCCTGGTGCAACCTCATTTTGAACGATTGGGAGCAAAGTTTCCCTATCATGACGATCAACTACAAAATAGTGTCTTTCGATGATCTTCCTTCCATTCAACTCATGGTTCCAGCAGATGCCAAACACCCATGGTCCTGACAATCGATGTCCATGGTTACAATTATTCACTATTCCTCCTGCATCTGACTCATCAGATGGAGGCTCTACTGCTGGTAAATTTCCAGTTAGGAGCCAACCACAATTGGCCTTTCTCTTTCCCCAGAGAAGAGCTTCATTGACTTCCACTTGTTGATCATTCCCTCCCATTGGCTCTCTCAAGTCAAACATTTGAATACACATCTCAACATAAGTTAAAGCAATCGTTTACAGTGCAGGTGCCACAACCCATTAACATTGAAACAGTTACTTGTGGTATGTCCAGTGCCCAGTAGCAGCACAGTTCCAAGATCTTCTGAAGGGAAAGGTGGATATTGCAGTGTCTGTTCACATCTGCGAATATAAAGAAGTCCTTCCCTTTGTGAATCAATTGGTGCAATTGACATCCATGTCTCATGCACCTCAATGTGTGGTATTCCCTGACGGAACCATCAACAAGCCTCTTCTTGCGTATTGTGGATTTCACCTCACTTCCGCACTTTTGGCAATTTGGTAAATCGTCCACACTCTGCAGCAGCCCATGCTCACACAAGAATGCAACACAGCTCTCTTCTGTAGCAATCATGAGTAAAACTCAACAGCCTTCATGATGAAGATGGAATGAGAATATGTCTGAGTTCTCATAATTTATAGGTTCAAGCCTTTCCCTTAATGACTATCCCTGATGCTCAGAGGATTAAGAGATTATCCCTTTACCTGGTGTAGGTGGAATTAATCCTTTTTCTGGAATTGTCAGGGAGGCATGTTGTCAACAAGGATAAGGTTCATGTTGAGATAAGCCATGTCAAGATAAGTCAAATTCAAGTCAGGACTCAAAAATTTAAAAAATGCTATCAGAGAACCTTAGCACATTAACTTTTTTGCATGTTTTGGTGTGTAGACCACCAATGACCAGAGAAACATCAATGTAAACCACCAACAACAAGAATACCCATTTTTGTTCCCTTGAGGGGAACATGCCAGATCCCTTGAAGGCCTATTTTGATTCAGTACTTGGATTTATTTATCCATCTTCTTGATTGATATTATTCTCCACAAAGTGATTTTTATATACAGTGATTTACAAAGATGAAAAAATCCTAATATATATCTTTTATTTTATTTATAAAAAACCGCTCAATAAGAAAGGATGCAAGTTCCAACAACATAAAGAAATTTAAATTCTTCACCAAGTGCCCTAATGAGATAAAAACTGTAGTATCAACAGCCTCAACAACATAGCTTTTTTAAAAATTTATTCATGGTGTTGAAACCTGTATCCTTTAATGGTAAATAGCCTGTTAAAAAAAATAGAAGAGACACTGGCTTGGATTCTTTTTTAAATCACCATGATAATATCTTGTACATCTACCTCCTATTTTTTCATTTTAAGAATGGCAGAAACTTTTTATTGATGGTTTTTAGGCATTAATTTTACATTTCTGGTTTTAGCACCAGACCCACCTCTGTGCCGATTTCATCTGTTCAAGAGAATTGAGAGTTTCAGTTTGAAAGAATTTTGGGAACACATCCATTCCTCTATCCAAATGGGTTAAAACCACAGGAAAATGCATTTAAAATATGCATGGGATGAAAAAGGGATTGCAGGGTATGACTTGACAACCTTCTCCCTCCTGAAGTGCCTGGGAATCTCCATATGCTTCAGGTACCAGCTTTGCATAATGATGATTTGGGTGTGAGTCAAAAGCTGCTACATCAAAGTACACAGAACCATGAGATTCATATCCAAAGCCCCTTCTCACAACCTCCTGGATGTAGTCGATGATCTCAGGGATGTATTCACTGACATGTGTCACCACATCTGGTGGCAAGACCTGAAGGAAAAACAGACATACATTTTTCATGATATGTTTAAAATAATTTGAAGAATCTTCATGGCCTAAGAGATACAGAACTCACATTCAATGCAGACATGTCTTGGAAGAACTCTTCTTCATAGCGGCAGGGTAGATCATTAAATATAGAATTATCTGTTACTTCTAGACCCTTCTCTTCATCCAGCCACTCAGAAAGGGGATCTTGGGCAGCTTCAAGAAGACTCTGAAATCATCCGTGACATGCAAAACACGAGTTGGAAACCATGCAACCAGCTGGTGAATTAACCCCTTCAGTGGCATGTTTTCCAACATGCTACAAGAGAAGCCTGAAAATTTCTCAGGCATGCCACTGAAGGGGTTAATTGTTCAGGAGCCATGTTCACCAATCTAGCTGATTGAAGTTCATCATCCTTTTGAGTCTTCAAAGAAGCTTCAACCCTCTTGATGGCCTCACTGAGATTAGCCACCATTTTCTCCAGCATGTTCTTCTTGTCAGGATCAGTGGTTTTCTTTATGGTATCCAGGAGCCTCTGCAACCAGCAAAATAATGCTGATTTTGGAATTAAAAAAAAAAAAACAAATATGCCACTAAAGGACCAACATGAAAATTTAAAACTCTTGTCATACCTCCATGGCTTTGAGACAGTGCCCAAGAAGGACTGGTAAAGGATGGTTCTCTTTACAGTATGCCTGCAGGAGGTGCTGCTGCCTTGCTCGCTTGATGATCTTATCATCAATATCAGTGACATTCAGCACGTAGAAGACATCATAGCCAAAGTATCCTTGGAGTACTCTTCTCAAGATGTCAAGTGAAATGTAGGACCTGTTGGACAGGAACATAGATGAAAGTGCTGATATCAAGTAGCCCAACCAAGGAATAGGGATTTATATGCTTTAGGAAAAAAAGACATACCGAGCATGGCCCATGTGTGAGGAGTCGTAAACAGTAGGCCCACAGCTGTACCACAGGACTCGCTTCCCTTGTTGAGGAATGAAGATTTCCTTTGTTCTGGTCAAGCTATTGAACAGCTGAAGCTGTGGGGAGGGTGTCTCAGGCTTTGGTGGTTCCCAAGCAGGTTGGGAGCGTTTTGCACTCATTTTCTTTGTACCTACTGGCGAAGTTTTGAAACATCTCTTCAGACCATGTAAAATGGGTCTGCCTAAGTGGGTAGGCAGTCTCATTGTAGGCTACCTAACACAGATAAGGCCCTTTCAATGCATGAAATGCATGCCCTATTAATAAAAGTTTCATGCCAATGATAGGCTGCTGTATCAGGCCCAATATGTTTGCCCCAGGCATGTACAGCACATCCAAGAAATGATGCACTAATGTGACTTGCTATATATGTACCAACAAATTTTCTTTAATTTAAGGTTGAGTGATAGCATATAAATTTTCCTTGGATGTTGGTTACAATATTCAGAGAACAATTCAATTCAATTCAGTGAATAATACTTATTCACAAAAGAGTGGGAAAATGTAACATCATTCTGGGGTTTATGAATAGATTGCCAACATAAAAAATGGTTCAGACTTAATGGTAAAAATGCTGTCCATAGATACCCATTTTAAGAACAGCCTATTTAAGTGAAAACTGCTCATTCCTCAATCACACTCTCAAACCAAGCAGCAATCTTTCTCCTTTTGTCTTCTTTCATGCATCTCTGGACAAAAGCACAAAACTATAATAAGGTTACAAAATAATAGAGCTGAGGAACCATGAAAACTTTTTACAATTCTCCTGCAAAATTGTCTCAAAGCATGTGGTTCACATAACAAGAAAATAAGTTATTGAGTTGATTATGGAATTTAAAAAAAATGAAATTCCATATTTCCTCCATTGTTTCTTTATTAAACTCAGATAAATCATGCAACTTATGAACCTCCACTCCTGTACCATATTCCCAGCATAATGTACAGGGTGACTACAAAGAAATTTGAAATTGATTTTGGCACTACATATAGTAACAATTGGTTGATAAGCTTCCCCTGAACAGTATGGTATAAAATGAGTTTAGGACAACAGGGGCTTTTGAGTAAACAATAGGAAATAGGGGTAATCATTGTCACCTTTCAACCTATTGCAGTTGGTCCAGAACATTGGAAACAGTAATATGTTAGTCTAAAATAATTTGATATAATTGTCATTAACTTCAATAAATGTAGCCATTTGCAAGGAGATATTGGACAAAGTAATGCAAAGTTGGTTAAAAAGGATATGCAGAACTACTTGGTGGATGATTTACTTCAGATTCAGATGATGATGAACATATGACATCAGAACTTTCCAAATCAGTAGTCATCAGAATTGAGATCTGGAGATTGTGGGGAATGCTATTGGAAGATGATATAACTAATGCAATCTCTGGTTCAAAGTTTGGGGATATTGAAAGTTTGTAACATTTTTTTAATCATTCTGTATGGATGTTCTTGAATACAAATAAGAAGTAGCCCTTAAAGTATTAATATTAATTACATTTAAAATGGGGAATTTTTCCTAAACAAAAGGATAAAATTAAACCCTAGCTCTGGTTAAATGTTAATCAACCAGAGTTCCACACTAAGATAGGGAATTTTGAAGTCCACCCCCTGGGTAAGAGTGATAAATATTTTCATAAATGCAAGAGAAACTCATTCTGATCTATTGTTAGGAAATGCTTCAGATTTTCTAAGAGTTTCAGAAATCACTGACTGTAGGCCAGACTAGTATATCTTCCAAGCCATGAACAAAAACTTTTGATCAGAAAAGGAAGACCTTCCTTGATTGCAGAGGAGAAAAATGGAAAACCATAAAGGGTTCTTTAATTGATGAACTCATTACAGACATATATTTGGCATTTCTTCAGTGTAAGGTCATGTTGCAGAATGATCTATATATTTAGGTTAAGTATTCATAGATAATTATTTAATCATGAAAATTAGTCAATCCCAGTTCATATTCTTGGACACAAAAGTTTGATTCCTTGCAGGGATAGGTATACTTAGTTTCAGAAGTCACATTTTCTCTTCTAGCTTTGTTATGCTTAATCTTTTTGCAGTTTCCCCTGCCAAGACTCATTCTCTTTTCCGGTTCTATAAAGGAATTTTGAAGGATATCAGACATATACATATATATTTGCATTTCATCTTGGCATGCATGGGCTTCTTTATTATTTTAAAAATAACCACAGGCATCCTTTAATAAAACTGCAAGGAGGGCAGAGGATCAGGTAATAGTGGATTGAGATTTTAGGCACCCTTCCTCCCAGTCACCATTTATATGTTTATGATAGGGCACCGTGTGAAGGGGATGTGGGTGCAGAGAAAAAAGACCAATGTGATGCTGAGCAGAGTTCTGAGAGTGCAACTGGTAATTAAAGCTTATTCACATACACTACAACATGCTCTGGATAAAGTTGATTTCAAGTATTTATAACAGTTTGCATCTGAGCCAGAGTTGAGATAATTTTCAGGAGAGACCCTTTCATAGGGTTGCATTAAGCAATCTAATTTTCTATCCACATTACTATCAAGATGTCTATCATCTTTATTAGAAAAGTTTGAGGCAGAGCAATCTAAAAAAATGTACTCAGAATTCTTTTTCAGAAAAAAACACCTCAAAGTTCAGGATATATCAACATTATTGAGAATTATTCCAGATATAGATAATAAAAGGTACTCAATTATTCTACATGTTTGGGATCATATGATAGATGCAGCCTACTTGAGAGGAAGTCTGGCTCAACAAACGATACAGAAGGAAAAGGTCAAGTAGGACCTAAATGCGGGAAGAGAGGGAAATGCCATCACATGGAATGCAGGACAAAGGGAAAGGGTGGTTCTTGGCCTCTAGTCAGAAAGTAACAAAGACAATGTGCTGTTATATTTGAAAGGCTGAAAGTGGTCTATCTGCAAAAAAATACTCAAAAAAAGGTATAACTGGTTTAGTGCTCAAAAAAACATTTTCCCTCTCACTGAAAATTGTAATTTATGTGAATTATGTAAAATAAAAAAGCCACTTTTCCCACTTTGAGAAGATTGTCACTGAAATAATCACTCTTTTAGTGCGGAGCTTGGGGAAACAATTTTTTGCAGATAGACCACTTCTCTTTTCAGACCTTCACTGAGGCACTGAGCAAATTTCATTCTCTTCCGGTCCCACACTGAGACGCGAGGGTACGCAAGGCCAAATGATATGGGACACCACCAGGTTTCAAGTCAGGATAAAGAAATTCACTTTCCTTCACTACAAGTGGAATGGAAGCGTAGTTAGCAGGCCTAGGCTTATCACAAACTAGAAATAGCTTCTGTGGAACACGCATGGTATCCCCCGGCACATCTCACACAAAGTCCGTCTCTATTGAATTTATGTAACGTGAAAGTGAGCTGCGTGTGAGTACTTGCGGGATTCTGACTCCCGTATGACGTGGTGCTTTCGTGTGAGGAAAAGAAATCCGTACGCGCGGTTAAAGGACTGCGATAAGGCTGTCTGCCGGCCAATTACAGAATATGTGATCAGCTCTTAAGAGTCCATGTGGCCAGAAACAGAGATGCCCTTCTGCATCTAAGCTGGAAATGAATGTTCGTCTCAATTGTTATCAGAAGAACGATTAAAAATTGAATTCCTCCTAAGGTTTTCCATTCAATAAGATACGTTATCATAATTCTTCTTTTGATTTTCATTATTTAACCAAGAAAATCATTAATTATGATCGTCGCGACCTCGACATCTCTGAGAATAAACTTCCTGTTTCTGTATATGGCTGCTGCCAGGATGAAGTAAGTCATATGTCCGTGGCGTGGGCCCGGTGTTTGTGCGTACGTTCGTGTTGATAGGTTTTGAAATAGCCTTAATTCAGGATGGGAAGTTATTGGACAGTCGTATGCCTAATAGGTAGGCCTGCAAAGGCTTGCCTTTCAAGATAATTAAAGGAATAGATAATGTCGAGTGTGGTAGGTTTTTCCAGTTTGATGACAGCAAGAGAACGAGAGGTAACCGACTTAAGTTGCGCAAACCGCAGGTGCGGCTCAGGTCGAGACAGGAATTCTTTACTTGCAGAGTGGTGAACGCGTGGAATGCGTTAGNCTTTTACAGTGTTTTTCATTGAGTTAGACACTTTTTCATTTGACTTCGACACCCATGCATGAGGAACGTCCCATGCATGTGTGCCTGAGTCAAGTGAACACTAACATCTCTACAGTGTTTTTCACTTCAGTTAGACAATTTTTCACTTGACTAAGACACCGATGCGAGGGGTATTCAGAGAGGAGGCGAGGGCGCTGGTGCCCCTGGTGACTAGCGACATCTTTCTTTCCTTCGAATATTTAGGCTTTTTCATATGAATCAAACTATGTACTGGAAACAATGAACCGCATGCATAACCATGTTGTCAACGGGAGACCTTCCTTGCAGTCTATTTAAATAAAAAGCCTCCAAGTTTTCAATTTCCCATCGGTTCAACGAAGTTGAAACACTGGATCGGACTTCAATGGACAATCCCAGATCCACGTTAGATAGGCCTACTTCGTGGGGAATAATACTTCAGAACCCAGGAACGATGCCCAAAACTTCATCTGTTTTATTGAAATATTAGGAAAACAGTAATGGGTAACACGAAAGCCTAGTTTTCACTACGACATTAAATTATCATTTCAATATATATTGTGTATTAGGGAAGGTTCACATAGGTTTTCCTCTCTTCAGCAGGAAATTAATCATCATCGTTGTCGCCAATGTCATCACGACATCTACACTTAAGTATGGAACTCCTAGTTTCTGCGTCGATCCGCTATATCACCCTCACCATGCACCGTTGTCGAAGTCAAGTGAAAACATGTCTAACTCAAGTGAAAAACACTGTAATATGCTGACACTGACAAACAAGGCTCCTCATACTTCATACTTGTAGTATGCATGGTCGTCTTAATCTCTCCATGCTGAGTTTTCTGTTTAACCTTAGCTTGTTGTCTTTGAATAGTGTATTGCATCATCTCCAGAGATACACCTTGATGTTCATCAAGTCACTGTTCTTAATTCAACCTGCTTCCTGTTTATCAATGACATTTCCACCTTGGAGAATAAGGTTCACCTGTTGGCAAGTAGTATCATCAATCATCTGCATAACCCACTGGAGCAGGCAGTCCCATTGTGCAAAAGAAGCAAGGTAACTGCATGTAAGTTGTCATGTAAATGGAACATCTTTCAACCCAAAGAAAACTGAGCTTACTCTACTTCTATGAAAGTGGAGTACTTAATCCACCTGTTTGTCCTTCTTCATCCAAGCTATTCTTTGAAGCATTTTAGGATCATATTCAATTATTAACTCATTTGGCATGTTCATATTCACAGCCTTGCAAAGCCTTTGTCAATGCTACACTAGTCTGTAGTAGGACTTTTTGTATCTTCTGGTGCTGCAGCCCTGTCTTACAAAGCCACATAATGGAGCATGCTTCCACATTTGAGATATTTCCATCCATCCACCTCTCACTTTTCAATAAGATTCTAGCTCACTTTTCAAGAAACTTGTCACCAATAGCCCATATTGATGTAGCATCCATCCCCACTAATCCTATTATGCCTCTGCAGCTACCTTTTACTTTTTAATCTTCTATTCTTATTCTAGCTCTCTGGTCTTCTTCCCCTTATAGAATGAGGACATTGACCTCAACAGATCAGTTAAGCTGTTCTTTCTTCATCTGGGTAATATGAAATATGAATATACAAGACACTGGGATGTAGCAAAGACTTATTTAAGGGAGGAGGAATAAAGAAACCCCTGTAAGACTTCTTTTTGACCTATTATATGAAGGGGATTCAACCCCCTGCCCCCCCTTATCATTGCCCATTTCACAGAAGAGGTGTACCTTTCTTCACAAATACAGAAATATTAAACTTGCTTCCTGATATTGTATTATTTCCTTGTATTGCATCATTTCAAAAGAAATTCCTTTCTCCTCTTTCACTTTCGGGCATTCAGGAATATTGCTAATGTGTTTTAGAAAAGGGGGATTAATGGTTGTATAATTCAGGCCCCAAATAAGACAGTGAGCAGTGGTCATGAGGACAATTAAAAAAAGACAGCTGTGTTTACATATGAAATAGGCCTAGCCCACCAAACAGTTTTTCTCTAAGGCCTATTTGGACTATTATCATTTGCTTTAAGCCTAGGCATGCATAAGCTACTGGTGATTTCACCAATTTTGAAATCTGCTAAGAATCCACACCATCAATACATGTATTTATAATTTATTTGAGTTATTTCTCTGAAGACATGAAAGTCTGTTTTGCATTTGGCTTTATCTCAAAAATTTGTGTCGTGGTTTATATTTATGTGATGCTCATGCTGTATTGATTGGTATTGACATCAGATACATATTTAGTATACAATTGGAACTCAAAGTACTGGAAAACTTTGATGTGTTTACATTGTGAGCCTAGATGAGTTAGTCACAATGAAAATAAGCTTGCTGGCTAAGATAATCACATAAGTACACAGTTCCTTTGCTCCAGCCTTGATCCAGTTCCTAATGAAGATTTGCTTGTTTCTTGACTGTCACTAGACAGTTTCATCTGGTGGCCAGATGGTGTTATGGGAAAGGCTTGAAGATGTTTGTGATACTGGTAATTGACCAATGACAAATAAAACTGGGATGTACTTAATTTCTCCTCAAATTTTCATGTTTACTGAATGAAATGAGGCAGGGAAACATGACTAGTCCTCCATTCTTGATAAAGGGGCTTATTTTTGAAATAATTATAATTGCTGTCTATACTCCCTTTAAAATTACTCTATATATAGGCAGTCATTCTCCTGCTTCAAGACTGAAACAAATAAACTACAGGGTTCCCCAAATAAGCCATGACTGGAAGTGTGTATGGCAATGAAGTAAGGTAAAATCCTTCTCCCTTGCATGCAGGGATTTGCAAATGAATTTTACTTCCTCTGACTTGGGCTCCATATGCCTGATGATTTCCTACATGGGAAATGTACCCTCACCATCTTGGATTCATCATAGAAATAATATTCCATAATGAAAGAGATGTTTGAGTTTATTGGCAAGTCACTGTATGTGGTAAGTCCCCATAGAGACTGTACTCATCAAGTCTATGGGGGAAAGGTGTTCCCCAAGTGCTAACTGTGGAGCTATGATGCAAAGGTGCTGTTGATGGTAATTGAGAAATCTCTGTGGATGCCTAACAATTCTAACATGTAGAACTATGTCTTAGGATGAGTTTTCTGAGGCATTTCTATTATTATGTCTTTACTTGTATTAGTATCACTGGGGTTTGCATGTTTCAGGAATTTATAAGAGTCTTATGACAGTGCCTGTTCCTAGGTTGAAGCTCCTTGGGTGAAAAATTTAGACCCTGGAGAAGCCAATCATGGAGAGAATGATAAAATTGAAAACCCTGAACTCCCATATCACTTGCAAACTGTGTCGAGGCTACCTGATTGATGCAACAACAGTGACTGAGTGCTTGCACACTTTCTGCAAAAGCTGCATTGTGAAACACTTAGAAGATAACAACACCTGTCCCGAGTGTGAAACTGTCATTCATCAGTCTCATCCCCTGAATTTCATCAGCTTTGACCGTACAATGCAAGACATTGTCTTCAAACTTGTACCACATCTGCAGAAGGATGAGGAGGAACGGGAGAGGGAATTCTATCGAAGTCGCGGCTTGCCTTGTCCATCAGATGCTGCTCTGAATGAAGATGGAGAAGAAGGAAATGGTCCAGGTGAGGCTGATGCCAAGAAGGCAGAAAGTACAGATTATCACCGGTTTGATGAACAGGTCAATATTTGCCTCGAGTGCAGTGGCAGTACATTGCGTTCCCTTCCTCGGAAGTTCATTCGTTGCTCTTCCCAAGCTACAGTGTCCCACTTGAAGAAGTTCCTTGCCATAAAAATCCTGGATTCGATGGAGAAATACCGTGATATTGACATTCTGTGCAATGAAGAACTCTTAGGGAAAGATCATACTCTCAAATTTGTTCTTGTGACTCGATGGAGGTTCAAGGAACCACCACTTCTCCTCCAGTATCGTCCAAGGATTGAACTATGACAGCTGTTCCTAATCCTTATGTAAATTTTTTTCTTGAGTCCATCCAATTTGTATGGTGTCTTGGTCAAGCAGTGTGGGTTTTCAGGATTCACACTCTGTCATTGAGTATGAATTATTGTTCTACATTTTTCTCAGTTTCATTCCTCTAAAGTCTAAATGTGCATGTCACAGTATGAAACAAAAAAATAATTGGCACTTTCAAGGATCTAAATAAGCCATGAATTAAATGAACTCCTATGGTGTTTGTTCACTGAGTGTGCTGGTATTCATGATCTGCTAGTGGAATGATGTCAAAGTTTTTCTGTCTGGACTTTTCACATATCCAATGTATGTGTAGCTCCTCCTTACTGGTATGTTAACTATTCAACCCCATGTGATACTTTGTTGTGGGTTTTGTCATTGATTCGTAATGAATATTGATCATTCCTCAGCTGATCATTTTCATTAGAAATTGTATCAAGAACTCAAGCATATCTGGAAGAGAGAATATGCACCTTCTGGTAGCATTTCTTATCCCTTGGAGAAAACTGGCTAATTTGTTCCATTTCCTTGTTGAATCAGTTACCCTTGCACTGTTTGGTAACAGTGTGGCAGAGGAGAGCTGCCATGAAAGGGTTGAAAAGCATCTCCTTCAAATCCTGTATTGGAATACCAAATTTATCATCAAATTGAGAGACTGCTGAATCAATCATGATTCTCCTTTAAAGGGATACCAGGCCCATTTATCTCAAAATGGGGGGACTGCATTTTGGGAATTTGGGTGTGAAAGTGAGGGGGATCATCCAGTACCGACTGTCCCCTTTTGAGCAGAGGGCTTTTGCTGGCATCATCTCTCATGGTCTCCCAAATATGATCCGGAGGATAAGAGAGGAGTTCCTCTTTGTTGTGCCACGTAAGCATTAGAAACATCTCCGATTGTCTCCATATTATCATATTATATGCTGTGCTAAATGGGTAATTTTATTATTCACATTTTTACATTTTGTTTTTGCTAAAATTGAGGGATGATATGACCAAACATCAACAGCAAGCAATGATGGAGTAAGTTAATAGTAAAAGTTTTATTTCTAATGAAGTGGCATAGTAGCCAAGGCACTTTGGTGTTTTGGCATAAAATTTGAATTTTATTGCAACTGGACTGCTGAAATAATGCATTTTGTGATAAATTTGGAGGTTTCAAAAATATACCACATTGAGGAAGTGGTGGACTCACTTGTGTCAAAACTTCTTTTTCCCAAGTCTCTCTTCTTTCTCAGACAGCAGTCATTGATAATCTTCCTCTTTTACTCACTCAAAATGTTTCATTTTGTAGGTGAGGAGGTTTTGGACCATATAGTTATTTCAGGCTTTACTTTATGAGCACTATGTGCCATCTACTTATAATTGTAACATACAGGAGCAATTAAGCCTCCCCATCAAAATCTATTCTCCTTGTTGAGACTCAGTTTCATTCATCCTGTTCTCTTGCAGCATTAGCGATCGGCTACCTGGTGTACGACTGGGGAGAGAATAAGCACCATCATTTGCAGAGAAAGAACCCAAAAGACTTTGAGAATGATAAATAGGCATGGATGGTCTTGTGCAATCCCGTCATAGGAGAACGCCTGTCCTAGTGATGGCTTTTGGCTTATGTACATAGTATGTGTGGAGTTGTTTAGAAATATATGATAAATTGAGCCAAGTAGCAGTCATCTGGTGTTTTTATTCTGATTGCATTGTGGTTGCAGGCTCTATGAAAATAATTTTTTTCAATTGAAATGAAAACAGTGATGGTGCTGTTTCTGCAAATTACTCTAGGAAACCACATTTAAATTGAGATTGGTTTTTGGTCTGGTCCTGATTTGTGGTTTTTGCTCAAAAATATGAAGATGTTTTGGCTATAGAACTGATTGTTACGCTCATTTACTTCAATTCAGTTCTGATTTTATACATAGTAGCCTTCATCAGTAAAAGTCACTAATCCCTCAAAATTGCTCGCAAAAGCAGGAGTGGCGCAACTGTTTCAATATCAAGACAACTTATGGCTGTGTGCATTTGCCATAGCAGCCAAAGACTTTTAGGTGAAATGTCGAATGACCAGAGTGGTCTCAATGAAGCCATAGATTACCGTTTCGAGTCCACAATAGTCTCAGGCAATAAAGGTATAATATCTTTTCATAAATTTTTCAATAATTCACACCTTGTGCTACCCTGGAATCGCATCGACTTCTAATTCTAATGAAGGAATGGCGCAAACGTGGATTACATTCTCTTTCGCATTTAATTTAGAGATTTTAATGGAACTACACAGTCAATCGTGTACTATAAGTCAGAAGATTTGGTTTCGGCTATTCGGCTGGAGTAAGCCCTTACTGGCTTGCAGTATATGTGACAACCGAAACCGAATTCCGGAATCTGCCACAGAACGCAACATTTGCCGGTTTGCTTCTGCGACAAACTTTGGTATATCTACTCCTTCGCAGAAGAAAGTTACTAAATATTACTGAATATACCCCGCGCATTCGCCCCGGGGCAACTCTTCCCCTCTTGCTGTGGCGTAGACAGGAAATCGACAGGGGACGGGTTGAAGCCAGGTAGACACCCCAACCCTACGCCTAGCTCCACTACCCGGAATTTACCTTTTCAAAGATATCGTGGTCTGGCATCTTGGGTCTGTGGACGGCCATCGGATTTACTTCGAGGGGGGATAGCTAAAACTGGAATTCACAAGGAAGGTTGGAATATGGCTGTCAGTGTCACTGACCGGGAAGTCCAATGGTTAGGGGGTTCTAACCCCCCAAACCACACCC